AACACCATTCATATGTGCTGGCATTTACTTAAGGGACAGGATTCATAAACTGTGCTTTGGTGTTTGAGTAATAAATATTACCTATCAAATGGTAGTATCTTCCTGTGTTGTTACAGCTGTGCAAACAGTGACCACAGAAATTACTGTGCCTGTTGGTAAGTCGTCTTAGTACCTCCTTGCTTGTGTAAACAGATCCCATCCCAGTAAATCCTTCCATCAGGCAGCTTCAGACCTCATGGGTCATTCAGGAGGCTGAAAAGCTGAATTGCACCAGATGGTAAAAGGAAGGAAATGTAATCCAGCTGCACATTCTACTTTCTAAGTGTTATAAATAGAAAATGAAAAGATGCACTGGCTTTGGTTTGGATCTGAATTGTGGGGTTGCTTTCTAACTGCATTGTTCTGTTAGAAAATAGTTCACCTTTGAATAACTTTATTTTTTGGCTATTTTTGGACACCAGCTGGTAGTGCATCAGTTTGTGTGTTTGTGAGGAATAAGGGGCCATTTATGTCCATGGGAAGTGACCAACAATAAAAAGATTGGCTCTGCAGGGTGGGCTGACAGGTCTTTGGTCAATGGAGACGAAGGAGGAATTCATTTGACAGTAAGTGCAGTAGTCATCCTTGTCTGCTTTCACACACGCAGCCTTCTTACATGTGCACCTGAGAATTACACCTATTACATCTCCTCCACAGAGCTTTCTGTCTAAACAGCTGACAAGAAGCACCCAGATGGAGTGCCAGACATCTCTCCTGCTGATTTTCCCGGTTCATTTTAAAATTGACACTTTCACCCTTTGTAAAAGCTATATCTCTGACTGATCCCCCAGAGCAGTACAGCCCCTCCTGCATGCCACCCAAACCACTGCTGGTAGAAATCCATCCTGCAGGAAGAGGGTTGGGAGTTGGATTAGCTGATCTTTAAAGGTTCCTTCCAATCCAAACCATTCTGTGGACAGGCACTGTCTGTCTTCTCTCGGCATATTAAAATTATGAACATCTTATTTGCACATTCCACATGACTCTGCTTTCCTTCATAAGTTGCCTTTATCAGCTACTGTTTTGCTTCTAGGTTTTGTGCATCATGAAAACACAAGCCTTTAGCTCTCTTCATTGCTTGGTGGCTTTGCTGCTGTTGCTTCTTGTGTTATACACTCCTCCTTATTCACCTCTCCAGCTCTTCAGCCCAGTAGGGGTCACATTAGTGTGAAAATATGCCTGCTAACTTGTGTACATCTTTAGTATGCACTAATAGAGCATCATGATCCCGCAGTAATGATAAGAAACAATTTGACTCAGCATAATCTTCCTACAAAGCTTATGATGAAAATTAATCACAATTGTGTTGATGTTCTTTTGTGGAAAAAATTAGAAATCTCACAGTTCCTTTTGAATGTGTTTTAAATTTAATTGTTACACCTTACAGTCAGCGGGGCTTATGGGCCTCTGAAATTCCAAAAATGAATATAGTTTTTGGTATTTAGTCTGCTGTTTCATAACTTGTGAGATTTCTGCATTGTTTTAATTGCAAAGATGTTTTGCACTAATGTCCTAGATGAAGCATTAGTCGATTATGAATGTAAACTGGGCTTCAGAGTCCATTCAAATGCTGGAAATAATTAGTTCTTCTGCAAACAAGCTAAAATGCTTTTACTTAATGAGGCTTCAGCCTTTTGAAGTGCACCCCTATACTTTGTTCTGATCAAAGTGAACACCACAAAACTCCAGCCCAAATGCACACTGGCCACTTGGAAAAGTGGGAAGTCTCAGTGCTTTAGAGTAATTTCATATACTGTCAGTATAGTTTCAGCATTTATGGAACATCTTAAGCCCAGTGGAGAGAGAGGGGAAGTCCTTTCCCCAGAAAAAGAGTAAACTGAATGTTCTTAGCAAGCACTGAAAAGCCAGCCCCATGCAAATAACATTTCAAAGCCAGCAAAGTTGTTATATCCTTTGAAATGTCCCGGTTTTAGGAAAAGTATGTGGTGCATAGTCATCAGCTATTCATAGAATCATAGAATGGTTTGGGTTGGAAGGGACCTATAAAAATGGGCATGGACAGGGACATCTCTCACAAGGTCAGGTTGTTTTACACTATTCCTTTTGGATAGGCAAGTAAGGGCAATATAAAGGTAGAGTGGGTTTTTTTGTTTTAATTGTGGGAATGCAACATGTTTCTTACAGGATTTGCCTCCTCTCTCTGTGCTGTAATGAGTAGGCAGGAGTTGGCACAGTTCATCTGTGAAAGGTGGGATGGATGACAGAGGGAGGCAGGTCACACATCTGCCATCCAGTGCAAGGCCATAGGATCTCATGCTACTCCTTTGTCTCGATGGAGATGCAGCCAGGAAACACAGTGTACAAGCCAGGAAGAGGAGGAGGTGTTGTGCTGCCAATCCCTCTCAGACAGCATTCAGGAACTTCTTGCAAACTGCCATGTTTTGGGGTTAGTGTTTGGGTTAGGCTAGTTTCCAGTGAGTGGTGAAACCAGTGTTTCTCAAACTGGTAACTGGTCCTATTAATGGAAAAAGACAGTGGATGGCTGAATTCGGTTCCTGTGCTGTGTTGGTTTGAAGGACAGAATTCCCTCATTTAAGCTATTTCTTAATAAAACTGTTTCTATTTGTTAAGTCTCTAAACAGTGATTCTGAATGAAACATTTCACAAACATTACATTTACACTTAAGCAACTATAAAAATTAAAGCAATTAAAAAATACTTCACAGAATCATCTAAGTTGGAAAGGACCTTGAACATCATCTAGTCCAACTGTTCACGTAACACTGACAGTTCCCAACTACACCAGCACTATGTCGACCCGACACCTCCAGGGATGGAGACTCCACCACCTCTCTGGGCAGCCCATTCCAACGCCTTCTGTAAAGAAATACTTCCTGACATCTAGTCTAAACCTTCCCTGGTGCAACTTGAGGCCATTCCCTCTTGTCCTATCGCTTATTACTTGGTTAAAGAGGCTCATCCCCAGCTCTCTGCACCCTCCTTTCAGGGAGCTGTAGAGGGCGATGAGGTCTCCCCTCAGCCTCCTCTTCTCCAGACTAAACCCCCCAGTTCCCTCAGCTGCTCCCCCTACGACCTGTGCTCCAGACCCTGCACCAGCTCCCTTGCCCTTCTCTGGACACGCTCGAGTCATTCAATGTCCTTTTTGTAGTGAGGGGCCCAAAACTGAACACAGGAATCGAGGTGCGGCCTCACCAGTGCCGAGTACAGGGCTCAGATCCCTTCCCTGTCCCTGCTGGCCACGCTACTGCTGACACAAGCCAGGATGCCATTGGCCTTCTTGGCCCCCTGGGCACACTGCTGGCTCCTGTTCAGCCGGCTGTCAATCAGCACCCCCAGGTCCCTCTCTGACTGGCAACTCTCCAGCCACTCCTCCCCAAGCCTGTAGCGCTGCTGGGGGTTGTTGTGGCCCAAGGGCAGCCCCCGGCATTTGGCCTTAGTGAAACTCCTCCAGTTGGCCTCAGCCCATGGCTCCAGCCTGTCCAGGTCTCTCTGCAGAGCCTCCCTACCCTCGAGCACATCAACACTCCCACCCAACTGGGTGTCATCTGCGAACTGACTGAGGGTGCACTCGATCCCCTCGTCCAGATCATCAATAAAGATGTTAAACAGGAGTGGCCCCAACACCGAGCCCTGGGGGACACCACTTGTGACCGGCTGCCAAGCAGATTTAACTCCCTTTACCACAACTCTTTGGCCCTGACCATCCAGCCATTATTTTACCCAGCAAAGCGTGTGCCCATCCAAGCCATGAACAGCCAGTTTCTCCAGGAGAATGCTGTGGGAAACTGTCAAAGGCCTTGCTAAAGTCAAGGTAAACAACATCCACAGCCTTTCCCTCATCCAATAAGTGGGTTGCCCTGTTGTAGAAGGGCTGAAGGACTTGTTGAAACCTTTTTTTTTTTTTTTTCCCTGTAAATTGAATCTTCTGTGTAGAAATCTGCCAGATTTTGATTGAAAATCTGAATATAACTATTTTAGATTGTTAAAACTCAGGTCTTTGAAGTTACATTTTTATTTTTGTTATATTCTTTAAAATACAAACATGAAAAACTGAGAATGACATTTCATTTCTGTTAACTTGTTTGGAGAGAATGGTTTGGGGTGCAAGGGATTACATTCTGCCTTTTTTGCTATGAATTCTACCCTACAGCATAGGACAACCAGCTCTCTATAACCTGGTACATGGATATTATATTTTAGAATAGATTTTGTTAATTAGATTATTTTAATCTTAGATGAGATGATTTATAGCAATTTTCTATGTTATGGACAAATACCACATGAAGATAAGGAGGAAAGCATGGAAAAACATGAAGAAGGAAAGCTTGGGCTTTTCTCCTGTTGCTGTCATGTGATAGAATTCAAAGTATTAAAATAGACATGCAGCCATTTCATCCAGATTGAAGACTGCAGGAGAAGAAATAGGAGTTCACTAGGGAAAATACCTGGGTTTGGGTTTTTCTTCCTCCTCTCATGACAAAGAGGTAGTTAATATATTCCAAGGAAAGCTTTTCAAAGAAGGGGAAAGAGTGGCTTGAGTGAGATGGACCCACATCAAAACTGTATGAAGTGTAGGATTCACCAATGAAATGACAGTTCTCATATTTTTATATTTGTTGCATATTTATTTTAGACAAGGTCTTGAATGTATGTCAAGGCCCACAGACACATCACTAAATCAGTTTTGTCAAGTTGTCTGTCACTCTGTAAGGCAGCAAATACTAGTTAAGACTGATAGCAATATCTGATATACTGTAATCAATTAAGACAGCAGAACATCCACCACCACCTGGGCCTGAAAGCAGTTCTAATTTAGACATTCAGAGTTCATCGGCTTCTGTTGCTTCTGCCTTCTGAATTGTGATTTTTGTTTGCTCTTATCTTGACATAAATTTGCCTTGTTTAAAATGAACTGTTTGATTACATGATGATATTGATTACTGCAGTTGTTAAAAAGACTAATTGATTTGTTTCTGCAGTGAAATTGAGAAGAGTGAAAGAAAGAAAAGAAGCTATAGCAACAGTACTGTAGCAGAAGAAATTCCAGTAAAAAGAAAGAAGGCGAAATTGAGCCAAGAGGAGGACCCTTATTTGCCATTAGATACTGGGCTTTCTCTGGCAGAGGATGAAGAGCTTGTACTACATCTGCTCAACAGTCACGGCTAATTATTTTTCTGTGCATTTTCTTTTCTGGGATGTCTCCACAATTTTGTCAGTAGTCTGCACAAAATGAATTTGGCAGCTGGGCAGCTGGGTACCAGTGGACGTAGATAAATGAGTTCCATGTGCAATGGGATTGCCTTAGATTGTCTCACAGATTATAGACAGTATTTAGTTTGATTTATAATGCTTTCTAAATGAACTTTCCAACCTAAATCCCCAGATGTCATTTTGCAGTAACGTGTTCATAATTTAAAATCTCCAAGTTCTGAAGCAATTATCTTTTTTTATTTTAATCTTGCTTTAAATAAAACCAGGATGCTTCTTTCTTGACTGTGTCAGGTTTTTTATTTTAGAAGATAAATGTGTACTAAAATTATTAAAGAAATATGGTTGGCAGCTCAAATCATATTACTTAAAATGCATTTTTTTTCTTCTGTGTATCATGCACATATTTTTAAAATATTTTAATAAAAATTTCTGAAGCCTTGGTGTAAATTTTTGGTGTCTTTCAGCTTTGTTATGAAAGCATTTCTTTATCCTTCTCATTTCTATTAGGAATCTGCCACTGATGTTAGCCAATTCAAAAAACCACTTCTAGAAGCTAAAACTGAATCTTGCATTTGAATCCTATATGAATGAGAACACAGTGATGCCACAAAAAGGTGGAGCATAACACTGCCTGATAAAATTGTTTACAAGGTAGATTTTGTGGCAGACTTACAACTAGAAGTGAGCTACTTTTTTATGACCAAATACAATGAAGAAAAATAATTCATTGTTCAGCATATTTTCACGTTTCATCCCATCAGACCATGGTTGATTGTTGCATATTTTGTGCATGCTTACCCGTAACTGCTGCACCTTGATGATCAGCAACAAGGTGTATGGTGTGCGGGTCCTTTCTCAGGAAAGGGAAGAAGCAGGTATTCTCTCTGAAGCAAAACAAAATATTAATACGATGCCAAATTCTTAGTTATTTAAGTAGATTTTCTTCTCTTTCTTGCACCCAAGTGCCAACTATGTGCCAAATTTGCTGTCTTTTTGCTTGCATTCATGACTACCCTCCCAAGAATGTTGGCACATCATTCAGAAAAAAGCATGGTAAACCCTTGCAAGTAATATGGAGAATGATGAAGACTGCTGAGTTTTACACATCTCTGAAACAACCTAGGCAAAGGGAAGGCTGCTGTGCAAAAAACCAAAGGGGAGCAGGAAAATCCAGTCTTTTGTTTGCTGACGCAAGTTTTTTGACAGCAAACAAGCATGTAAAGTGATGACTGTCTGTTTTCAGCAGATCCATGTCTCAGTGAAGTTTACACGGCAAAATAGGGAGTAAAACAGAGTAGGTACAAATGTCTGTGCACTTTCCCTCGTTGCTTCCCTTCAGCAAATCATAAAGTTGTATCTATTGGTCTTCCCATCACTTACATGAAGAACATATTTAAAGTAAATACTCCTTTCTTTTCAATATAACTTTTTCCTTTTGTTACAGAAATCTATCAGCACCAATTCAGTACAAGCCTTTCTTCCTTTCCCTGTGCCCCATGCTATCTTTTAGCTCAGTTACCCAAACCTGAAAATATACTGCAAATTCTTGTCTCAAAATGTTGCTTCCACTGTTCTGCCAGCAGGCAGGGTATCATAAAAACAATATTATAGGCGGAGCACGTCTGCCATCTGCTCCTTCCTGACAATGTGGAACGAGAAGAAATGACCGAGTTTCACAAACAGCTAAACATGAAAGATGGGACCTGCTTGGCAGCTGATGCACAGTGTTGTTTAGTCTATGGTGCTACAGTGGGCCTGGAAAATACTGTGATCTGGTAATAGTATTGCTGATGAATCTGTTAATGAAGAAGGATCTGCTGTGATGCTGTTGTGACTGTGCTTAGGCTCCATCATGTGAATGGCTTCAGTGAACACAATGAGCGGTGCCAACAGATTCCTGTGCACTGGGATAACAGAGGTCCTGCTCCTGCAGTTGTGGAAGAAGGCAGTAAATTTCAGTGAAAGAAACACCAACAGCAGAGAGTTATTCAAAGGTGAGCTGGATGTAGATGATAATACATATGCTGGTGTATACATCTTATTCAGAGGTATCTGTAGATTCATAGTGTACTTTGTGGTGATCAGTTGTCTTACATCATCTGATGTCTCTCAAATCTTATCTCTGAAAAGGTTGAACATAGTTTGTTTGGGCAAGTAAGTGAAAAACCAAAAGATTTATGGTTTCTTACTGGAATATTCTCATTCGTATGTTGGGGTGTGAGAGAAGTGAGCAGTTAAAACGAAAAATCAAATTATGTATATTGGAAGGACTGTGCTGCATTTCTGTTCTTGTGATGTTTTTATTGTCTGCATAAGATAATTTTTAAAGTGCTCTTTTGTATTTTGGGATAATGGAGCTTCTATTGTATTTATGTTGTCTGATATAGAGCCATTGTTTCTTGAATCCTTACAAAGTTTGCCCATCTACTTCAAATGTGGCTGTCCTTGAGGGGATGGCTTGTATCTAGAGTGTGACTCCCACAAGAATGGAGACTTTGTGAAAAAGTAGAGGGAAGGGACTTAAGCAGATGCTTCAAGTGATGAGTGTATCTAAGAACTGGGAACTGCTGTGTGTGCTGGCAAGAAGACAAAAAAAAAGCCAGCATTGAGCATTTTGAGGCAGTGGCTGTTGTTCTGGGTTATCATTCCTGTCAGCTGTAGATCTGGTTTAAGAGGCTTCTCACTAGCCCTGCTGTTAGCTGTGCTTCTGGAATAAGAAAAAAATCGCAAAGCACACAGATATTAATCTCAGAAATCCAAGGACTGACTAGACTGAAGGGTGTTTTCCAGGGAGCTTGTTTGCATTTCACACCCATGACTGGCATGTGTGTCCAGGGCTAACGGGCAGGTGGAGTGGGGCCAGACGGGAATGCCACTCATCTCCCTTTCTCTTGGTCCCAGGTATGTCAAGTGCTGCTGTAGCATCACAACAAATCCCAAGGTTTTGCAAGTTTGTACTTCACATGCATTATAATCCCAGCTTTACACAGGAGAAATGGAAGTGTGGAAAGACTTGGCTTGCCTGTAGTCAAAGGTTTCACTGATGACTTCAAGTGCTTGAATTCATAACTCCTTAATCATTTGTGATTTAACAAGAGCAACCTCCCACTTGGTGTATGAACTGCCTTCTGTGTAGGACCCAAACCTTCAGGTGTCATGGTGTCTGGTGCTCTGAGCACCCTGGGATGGGTTTTAGGGTTCTTTTCACCCCATAGGCTGCAGCTCTCCACGAGGAGGGGAGGGAAGTCTCTTGAGATTCCTTTAGGAGGGGTAGCAAGGTTAGTGTATGGTGGTGTGTATTTTCCAAGGGCATTGGCCAGGAGATATCCTTAAATCACCAAGCAGGAAATCTTACTCTAAATAATGAATTTTCATATTAGTTTAGATTTGTACTTTGCATTTGATTTCCTTCTGCTGCTAGAATGGTTCCAGTGTGTTGATTTATAGCTGATTACAGTGTTAAGACTGAGTCTAGTACATTTAGCTAATTCTGAAGACATGCATTAGACATTTATATAATAGTATAGTTTGGTAGGCTTTTATTCAGAGACATTTTCTCTTTGTTGCATACAAAATAATATACACATTTGTTTACTGGATAATTTATTACAATTTGAAGACTTTTGGATGGAAACTGGAAGTTAGGTAAAAGTCATGACAGCATTGAAGACTTCGGGGTTTTTAGATTAGTTAAATAGACTGACACTAAATGTGCTAGCCACTGAAGATGGCCAGCTTGCAGTATTTTCATGAGGCATATAAAATATGATGCTGCAAAGATCCTGTTCTGCCTCGGCATCATAGAAATTTCTGTTAGGTGTTCACTTTGTAAAGACCTTATTGATGCAGCACATTAAATTGTGTGAAGAGTATAAGAAATTTAGGCTCTGATATAAATGGCTGCAAATTAATATTTAAAATTTTAAATGGGTATTTTTCTTTAAATATTATATGAATAGAAATAAAAAAAAATAATTTTTCTTCCTCCTGCAACTGACTGAGTCCAGCCAGGGCATTGACTGGTGTGTCCTGCTGTCTGGCCAGACTCATAAAGAGAGAGAAATGCCTGAAGCAAAACATTAAAAAACAGAGAGCTGTGGTAGAGAACATTCAATTCAGACTATAAAAAATAGTAGGAGATCTGAAGATACTAAAGTAACCCTGTGGGTTCCTATAATCCTGGATACATATGATAAAACTGATATAAAAACCAAGAAGAAAATGTCTCTTAGTAAAAGTTGTAAATGGGTATTTTTCCTTATCATGCTGCTCTCTAGTTTGACCTGACTGATGCTTATTTCTTGTGAGAGATTGCGTCTGCCTTGTAGCCGGGTTGCTAAGCTGTGGTAGGCTGCTGCTGCTGCAGGAATGGCAACTGTGGTTCAGGATGTTGCTGCTTTTATGCTGGAGCTTGCTGCCCCAGCTGTAACCTTCCTCTGACTAATAACCTGAGCTTTAAATTAAGTTGGTTGGTTGTGTCCTGAAACAGATGAATCCTTATGCCATCCATTTTGCTAACTGGACAGAGGGCTGGTAACAGGCAGCTGAAGGACAGTAACACATTCTTGTGCAGCAGCTACTTTTGCTGTTAATTTGATAGAGACCTTGAGCAGACTGTAGCCAAACCTTGTACCCAGCACACTTCAATCTAAAAGATCCAGAACACATCTTAACTCCAAAAGAAATACAATTTCCATTCAATAGTTTCAGTAAGAAAAGACTATTATCGTTACTTTTGAACCACATTTCATCAGATTTCTTTGTTTTATTGCTCACTTTTCTGGTGTTTGCAGCTCCTCTGAATTTAGTCTCATCCTTTCAGATTAATGTTTTATTCTCAGAAGGATCGGTAAGTTTTATCTTTAAAAGGTGGAGCTAGATGCCAGAAAATTGCAGTGCTGTCATCTTTGTAAATCATAAAAATTGCTGTCAAGGCTTTAGTCTATACCATGGGAACACTTCTATAATCAAGTACTCCCCAAACTTCAAAAGCAAATGAGTCAGTCAAGAATATCAACAAATTAGAAAGCCTAATGCAAAAGAAGATCCTTTTCAGGCCTGTTAGGAGGCATTGCTATGATTAAATCAGTAGAGAGAAGTCAATCTGTTCCAGGAATGCCTTGTGCATTGCCTATTTTTGTCCATGTCAGGCCAGAAGCCATTTTTCACAAAAAAAACCTATTCATCAGATTCAGTCATGCAAAAATGATTGCTTAAATTACACTGGGCTATCAGCTAGTGGATTTACCCAGAAGTGGAATCTCTTGGGTAGATGCTCTCTGTAAGTTTTGCACATAATCTAAGATGTGTTTTGTCTATAAAATATAGATAAGTTTAATTAAACTAAATTAGTTTTGTTGAGCAGTTTTTGAAATCCATTCGAGTTGAAAAGTAGCCATGCTGAGAATTCAGCTACATTAAGAGGAAACTAAGGAAAATT